AAATGTTTCAATTTTACCCTCCAGACATTTGGGAACAAAATGTTCCCCGAGTTGGGATTTATAATCTTTATTGCCACAAATCCTGAGCCAAAGATTCTTTAAACCACTTACCAAAATGTAAATAACTTTGTAATCAGTTATACCATCATTTAAAAAAAAAAATCTTCGAAAATATGAATAATTTGTTGAGGAAACCAAGCTGAACCCATTTGACCCCACCCTGGGACAAAGTTTCAATCAAATAAAATACTCAAAATGGAATGGTTTCGCTAAAAAAAAAACATTAAATCTGATACAAGTCAAAAAAAAAAAAAGTTCCAGTCTCCAGACGTGGAAAGCTGAGAGAGATATTCTTCAACAAACTTGAACCTGCAGCTACAGCAAGAGATGCTTCTAGAAAGTACTGAGACAGTAAGAAGTATACAGATGCGAGCCGCACTTATCAGATTATCATTTGGGAAACATGAGATGAATACCACGTATAACTTCCCAGACTGCACAATTATGCATTATTTTATGAGCTCCTGTCGCACAAGTTTTTCAATAAATACATTGAGGTTTTGCTGTTGGGTGACAAAATGTGAAAAATAATTTAGAGGTGAGAATATCCATCCGACTTCTGGTAAACTATAATCAAGTTAATTAGGTAAACAGGTAGTTAGCATCCAGTTAATGTGTGATGTACCTGTGTAGTTTTGTGGAGCATGTGAAGAATGACAGGCTTCATTGCACATGTGGAGAGTTCCGTGTTGACAGAACTGATGGACGAAGGGCTTCCTTGCTGCACCTGGGAGGAAGACACATTGTTCAATGAAGACACTTCATTTTGCTGTGAAAGGAATGTACATAAAAAACCCCACAAAAAACACCTTCACTTGAACAATTTATCAGGATTTGGTGGAATATGCCACCACAAAGCTTATCATAAGCATTTATATCCCCTGACCATGTTTTTTTTTAATAGGACATTTTAAATCAGACATCTATTTAATGACTACAAGAACATGTGAACACACATCTGATTCTTCTCACTCATGAACAGACCTCACCAGCAGGTGTTAGTAACAAGCATGGAATAATGAAAAGAAAGAGCGTTGTGAAATAAAAAAAGTCATAAAGAACACTATAGAGCCAAACAACGCTCACCGTGATGGGAGGGTTGGACAGAGAGTGTTGTGGGGAAGAGCGGACCACTGGCGGAATTCCCCTAGCAGGGCTGGTACCAGGACCGCTACCTCCCGCAAACTGACACACGAGGAAAACAAGAAAGAAGATAAATGGAAAGCCGAGTAAAGAAGGGGTCAGAAAGAAGGAACGAAAAGTTATACAGGTGAATCCAACGTGACAGGAGCACTCACCTCAAAATAATCGCTAATTTTAAGCCCCCTCGCTCCTGCTTTGCCTACAAAAAGAGAAGGGTTCAATAAAAGGGAACGAGTAAGAAATTATGAAAGGGTTGTAAGTGGGGATTATAGTACCTTGGCTGTCAAAGTGGTCCGCTTTGCGTTTTCTGACTCTCTGTTCATTCGCCTTTTTCTCTGGAGTCTGTAAAGAAAGCAGCATAAACACACAGTGTGTGAGAGGTGGGGTAAAAGGAAGAGTCCCCACAAATAAATCCAGTCAATATGCAAGAGACACTAACCTCCAGCTCTTTGTCACTAAGTGAACCCAAGCTGCACAGACTCTGATTGGATGACTCATTCTGACTCTGACCTGAGCCCTGTTTTCAAAAACAAGAAAAAAAAAAAAAAAAAAGAGAAAAGAAAGGACTTAAATACACACAAAAGGTGTTAGACGCATGTCCATTTGTTACTAATCTCAACATGTGGAAACTTGTGGGAAAACATGGACAAAAACATACAATAAAAATGCTGAGAGACAAAAACAGTGATGGAGAGGTTTGGCTACACGCAATCACCATAAAATCCCAAATGTGTGGAGACCTGCATCAGTACCAACGCCGGTTCCCTAGGTGATGCCTGTCAATCAAATGATTCACATCAGAATTCAGCAGGCGCTGTCCAATCAGAGCAAGACACTTAGTCATTCTGAGCACACTAGAGCTCCCTCGCTGAACCCTCCTAAAATGGCTGAACATTAGGCAAGCTGCTGGGGATCCATTCCTCGCTCCATCTGCCACCTTTACAAAATGTCATCCATTTTTCCTCCTTCTCCTCCTCACCGCATTTTTAAATCACCCTCTTTTTTTACTATAAAGGCAACCACCAAGAAGATACTTTTTTAAATCTAAAAAAACAAATAAGAAGATTGGTTGTTTGTTCATGCAATTCACAGATACTAATCGCCACATCTGTTTATCAAAAGATGTTTGATCCCTTTGTCCTTAACTTTTCTGCTGACTCAGTGTTTTACACAAAGAACAGCAGCGCAATCGAGCTATTCAAGGTCAAGAAGGAAAAGATAAGCCACTCCGTGACACTGAAGACGCTATCGGACCACCAAACCATACGTCTTCACTCTCACCCATCTAGTAGAGGGCGACTGTGGTATGACGCCTTAGCAGGCGTCGCCATTTTCTCTGCGGCAGCAGCCATGCCATGCTCTGAGCTCAGCTCTGCCTATGGTTGGCACAGGGCCTGCTCTTGGCACCAACTCCGGCTCCCTAACTGTTCCAAGATCACCTTCTTCTAAGACTGACAGCTCCATCTACGTAGCGAGGGTGCGGGGAGGAAAAGCAAAGAAAAAAAAAAAAACACTTCTCATTCTACCTGGTCAAAAACTATTTCTGCATTCTTCCTCTGCCCCCTACCAACCCTGTCTTGTCTGTGGCCTTGTTGGCAGAGGCAGTCGCTCGCATATACAACTGCTACATCACAAGCCAGGGAGCGATGCCATGTCAAAGCCGCCAAAAAACACAGACACGGCTCAAGCTTCTTCTGAGACAAAGGAAAGGCAAGAGCCCAAGCTTGTTCAGGCTAAAAAAACTAAATAAAAAAATCAGACTAATGATGGCAGTAATGTAAAACAATAAAACATAATCATATAAATCTGTTACTAGAGAAGCATTTCCCCAGCTCAACCTTTGTGACATCTGGTGCCTACGAACCTTACTCACTCCAACCCCCGTAAAGCGAGCCTCCAACAGCTCCTGTCGCCGGGGGTCCAGGCTGTGCAGTTCTTCCATCATGGCTGTGGAGACAAGAGGGCAAATTAAGGAAGGCATTCAAGAGCCTGGAATATTCAGATGGAAGAAGGATGACAGTTTCAAAAGACACTGGTTGTGATGAGTCATGCCAATGTTTAGCAATATGGATGTGGAAAATTCCTGTTCTGAGTCATCAATAAGTTTGACAATGTTGATATGTATATCCATGAAGGAAAAGCCACTTAACAACTGCTGTTCAGCAAAACACACAGAGTACGCAGAGCACAACAATAAACAAATACTGATATTTCACATGCATCACAGACTAAGCCCAGATGTGTAAAGTCACTGCCTGGAAATTTATGGAATCACTTGATAACGCCTTGACATGACAGGCCTAAGTTTCATGGCGCTGTTATAAAAGGTCAGCAATGGAGGGACTGCCAAGGAACACTCACAGCAATGGAGAAAAGGCCACAAAGGACAATAAGTGGCCAGTTTGCTGACCGGTGCGGAGGTTTAAAATTACACGCCCAGAACTGGTTACTATGTATGTCTGTTACCTACAGTTTACATCTACAAGTAAATATATTTAATGTATGGATTATATAAGTAAATAGTAAAATCTTTCTTTACGTGAAACAAAATAAGTTAAGTATTAATTTTGAGCACAATTAGTGAAATATCGGTAAGCTAACTTTAGGTAAACGAGTCAAGAAGCTACCGATGCTGACCATCAGTTAGCAATCTAAGCGGCTAACAGTTAGCTAATGATGTTTAGACTGAATTTCTTTAAAAGGGTAAACCAAAGCAAGAGAAGAATGTTTCGACAAATTCTCATCCAAGTATATTTAAAACACAAGGCTATTTTTTTCTCTAAATACTGACCGTTAGTCGTTAGGTTTCCAATGGGCTAGGGTTATCCCTAAAATAAGCATCATCTGCCACGACATCTGGGTTCACTGGAGCAAAAACATCCCTCAAACGAAATTCTTTTGTCTGAAAGCCCGTACAGATACTCACTGTAGTTAAGATTTTCTCAGTTTTCTGGGGTTGTTGTCGTTGAAACCGTCTGCGTTGTCTCACCGGTGCTCGGCAGACCCTCCCAGACTAGGCCGCATCCAAAGCCACGTCCCTCGCGTGCTGGTTGTTGACGATTGAGACGCGGATGCCCGCTGAGCAGCTTCAGGTAGACCACGGAGGATCCCGGTGGAGGCCTCGACAAAACTCCGGGTCTCCCAAACCCGCCTTTCTGCGCTCCTTAAGCAGGAATCCCCATCATGTCCCTCGCTCCGAGGGTCATACCGCACTGTGGTCTGGTGTATCTCGCTCCACACAATGGCGACCCTGGAGAATTTGCGCTTTTCGGCAGGTATAAATAATGTCTTTGAGCTAGTGTAGTTACCCTAATATTTATCTCCCCCAGTGGTGCGGTGAATTTAGGGTCCTAGCTTTTCAGCTCGATCAAAACAAAGTTCGAAACCAGTTTCCTTCCGAGCTGTAAAAAGGATCAAAACGAAATCTGTTTTCGGAAGTTGTGCTTTTGGAAGCGTTTCAGCTGAATCCGGATCATTTCGGTTCGGATCTCACGTTTTTGCAATGTAAACAATAATCAGGAAAATCTCATATTTTCTCGTGAGATCGTTTAAGTAGTTTCACCTTCCTTCAGTCCACGCCTGCCCCAAAATCTGTTGTCCGGACCAATAACAAAACCCCCTCCACACAATGAAATTTAGCAGTGCCCATCCCCACTCTAGTGATAAATTAATCAGAAAGTTCCCATCCTAACAATGCTGCAGACATAATATAAAAAATATTATTTAAATGTGCAAGATTTTTTCATTACTGGGTAAAACAGTTTTAATTTACCATGTACAAAAATGTCAAATACAAAAAAAGTCATGCAATGTATTTTGAAAAATTTGCAGATTAAAACCAGTATCTTGGTTACCAGTTCTTTTTCAGATTACACAACTCATCAGGAGGAAAGTCATCAATATCCCATTGTTCAAAATGTCTTCTGGAAAAAGCTGTAATCTTTGGAGGATTCTTCCTCTCATCTCCCCTTATTTCTCAACAAGGCTTGCGGTACTTGCACTGGATCCAAACCCTGTACATGGTGAGCTGTTTCCCTCTGTTCACCTGCAGCCGCCTGTCCACAAGGTTCTGCACTTTTTCAAGCCCAGCCTCTGCAAACAACTCATGAAGCTCATCTAAAACACAAAACGCATAAAAATGTGACATATTCATGTTGAAAGAATGAATCAGTAAGGGATAATATTAATAAAAAAGAAACAAACAAAAACGTTATAAAGCCAGTCATTTTATACCCTGAGTAAAGAAATAAACTCGTGTTCCGTCCCCTCTGACGTAAAAGTTTTCTGACAGACATCTCCCTAAGATAAAAAAAAAAATACACAGTTATAAAGATGAAACAGTTAAACAGTAAACATTTCAAGGTTTGGTTGCAAGGATAAGCAGGTATAGGCATTGCTCAGAAAAGTCGTAAAGAGACCTAAAATGTTAAGGAATGAAGTGTTTTAAATGGAGAATAATCTGAAATATTTCCTCAAAAATATTAGAGACCACTAACATTTTTGAAACTGTTCTACTGATAAAAAAGAAAATAGATTCAATGTAAATGAAAAAAGAAAAAATAACATCTGTGCCACTGATCAAGGAAGACTGATGTTATACAGTAAAATAAACTAATTGACTAAATAATCAAGAAATCTTTGCATGGTTCCCAACATAGAGAAAGCAGCTAAACCATACTGAAGTCAAAAAACAGAAAGACAATGACATGCTAAAAAATACTCACTTTTATAAACTAAAGACTTCTGACATCTCTGAGGACAGCCAGATTTAATGGTACGTCTATTCCATTTGAATGTTTATCTATATTGGAGGAATTGTGTACCTTTTGATATGACCCTTTTGTTTCCTTTAGAAAAGTGATGTCCAGGTTTTATATACCTGCTAATCACATGACCCCATCCCAAATAAGTGGAAACCATGGATGAATTAACATAGGCATTTTGTATTATTGATTGCTAACAGTTTACGATAAGAGTGGGAGTGATTTTAAACAAATTCTTCCCAGTAGAAGAGAAATCTTTAAAAATTCTAGATCTTTTGAACCTTGACACGACTTGACTGACCTTTTTTGAAGCGCAGTTGTGCCATATCATAGCGTCCATAATCCCTCAGCAGAATCACACCACCTGGTTTCAACAGACTTGCTAATCTACTGATGGAGGCCTGCATCCTGAAATGGAGGGGAAACACTTACACAGTGTCTGCAATATCCTAAAGATGTACACAAAAATGAAAGCACAAAAATTGGCGATATCTGTTCGTACTGGTCGGGATGCAGTGCCGACAGCACAAAGATCAGCACAATAATATCAAGGGATCCATCAGGGATGGGGAAGCTGGCCTCGACATCGCTCAAGTCGTGAACAAAGACAAAGCAGCGGTTCAAATCATACTCTGGATTAGTCTGACGACGAGAGAAAATTTGAGTTAGTCACACATCAGAGATCAGAAGAAACTGTTCTTTTGAGTCAAAACATCTCACCTTCACTAAATCCACAGCAGTGCTGGAGAAATCACAGCAATAAACAAAAAGTCCAGGGTCACTGCAGAAGGCAAAGCTGCAGTTACATAGACTGCAAAAGGTGAGAAGTCGTCTTTTTAAGACATGATGCAACTTTTCTTGTGTGTTCTTACTTGTTGGTCTTGAGTATTGGGAAAACTGTGTTGCCCACACCACAACCAACCTGTACAGGAATGATGTTATGTTTCAGGAGAATTAACCATTTCAAATGGAACAAATGTAATGATGGCAACAAAATGGGCTCTGTTTGAATGTGAGTGCTATTTGATAGAGAATCTTATATTCAAAGAACAAGAAAGAAAATTATAATTTCAATTGGATTACATTCATTTAGTGAGAGAAGTCTAATGTTTATAAGATTTTCACATATTTCAATCATATACTTGTTATCTCGGCTTTTCAGACTTAATCTTAGAACAACAACAAAACAACAACACAATTTTGACACTTCTGGGAAACATTTTACAAGACTGGAACATAGAATGGAAAGGTTCGTTGCACAATCTGTCTGGTTCCTTCCAGGTCCTGAGTCCTGTGCACTCTTTCTTTCCGCTCATCCAACAGGATCTGGGTTTAGGGGACTGAGATGGCCATGGTAGAAGTCATATCTTGTACCCATGGCCATATGTTTTGGATCATTATTCTGCCAAAACACACACTAACAAAAAAAGTCAATTTTGTAGCAGTTGCAAATGATGGGATGCCCTCTCCAGTTTTCTGGAGCTCCCTTCAAATAATGCTGTCTCCCACTGAAAAACATGGACTGTAATGAAAGGTAAGCTTTTCTACATTTTTGTAATTCATGCAATAAAAGCTGAACGCAACTGCAGCAGTCATATACAGGTTATAACACCTTCCAAAAAGTTTCTGTGCCCCATGCATCACAGAATAGCTTTACTAAAACACACCTAAACTCTGTTTAAAGAGACATGGGTTTATTATTCAAGCCCATCATTTTAAGAATGTGTTTAAATCTACAAAACATCACAAAAAAATCTGGCAATTTCCTGAACTAAATAAAACTATTTAAAACATTTATATGGTGAAAATGTGACCAACTTTCTGCTAGAATGATCTCTAACCTCCAGGATGCGATATGTGGCAGAGGAGCCTGGAAAGTCACAGTTGTCACCAGACAAAGCTGCAAAATCCCTGCATTGTTTTTGTTCAAATCCATCCCGATGGCTGCTGTCCACGCCCGAGTTGTTTGGTTGAGATTCGAGGTTCAGGTTACGCTGTGGGGCAAGCTCTGGAAACTCTGTGAAGAGCCAGTGACGGTCTTTAAAGAAGCGATTCTCATGTATCGTGTAAAACTCATTCCAGTATTCACTGGCCCGACTGTTGTACTCCTCTGGAAGTAAAAGGCAGAAAAGCTAGTATTAAAATAATAAATAAAGCACACTTCCTAAAACACAACACACATCTGCTTCTCAAAGGCTACTATAATAAAAAAAAAAAATCATGATTTAATAGTATTATATAAATATAAAAATATATTAATTTTCAAAAGTATAGCCTAACCTTGTTTTTCTAGAGGCAAGGGCTGATTGTTTTCGGAAACTTTCTTCTTTGCAGCTTCTTCCTGTTCATCAGTCCACTCAACATTGTCCCTGGAGACCACAAAACATTATTATTCCAACTTTGTGAATGAATAACAAAGTGATTGACCGTGAAGAAATTGTGTTTGATATTTTGATGTTTTATTAGGCTTAATTTATATGGTTTTTTTTATGTCTGAATACAGATTTGACAGAGAATTTAACAATTATGCCAGTGGCATCAACAACTCTGTTAAAAAGAGTAGTTTCGCCCATACACAGTGCATTAAGGTAGAGTACACAATTAATTCTCACACTGATCCCCAGTGTATATATTGTATATATTAAAAAATATATTTTAAAAAAGTTTAAATTTATTTAGTTGATCAAGGTATAATTTTGAAACTGTATTGGCTAACCGTCAAATATGGCAACTTTATTACCGTCACCTTGATTTTTGGAGCTATGACCAAAGTTGCCGATAATAATTTTCTGACATTTAAAAATGCCTTATTTTTATTATATTTAAATTTCTTAAAATAATTTCAAAGCAAAAATAATCTCTGCTCACTCTAATCGAGAGAACTTTTTTACTCGAACGGCGGGCAACCGTACTGCCCCTTTTACCGTAATGCACACAGTAGAGGAGTAAAGTAATTTTATGCGAAAACAGTCGTATTTTCTAAGTGCCGGCTTGCTTGGACGCAGTAAAAAAAATACAAAAATAAATAAACAAAAATTGCAACGTTACAAAAACTGAACTCAACAATCCAAAGCTAAAGATCATGCTGAAAAAGTCTCCTCCACTCAAAAGATACACATGAACCCATTCCATCCTATTTGGGTCTGTGGTACCGACCATGCGTTGTGCTGGAAGACCTGCCGCGGGTCTGTAAGGAAGCGTGTCCCGAACTGAGGCCTTTTGGTGTCTTCAGAGGAAGGATTTGAAAGTGTCAAGCTGATTTCAGTGTTTTCAGCCTCCACTCCGTCCACGGTGCGGGGCGCCGCCATGATGGATCTGACGCAGAAGGCAGTGACGCATTCAGGGACAAGCGGAAAAGATACTCACGGGTTGAAACATGCTGATAGTTAATATTAATCACTTAAAAAAACACATTGTTTTTTACATTGCACAGGTATTCAGAGCCATTTCAGTCAAAATTAAGTAAATAAATAAACAGGGAGACAAATAAAATGGATTCTGTGAACCTTCACTCTTCTAATTTGATTTTTAGATTAACTGAAAAATATTCTGAAGAGAAACTTGGACCAAGGTCCACAAAGCAACCAAAGACACAGAGTTTGATCAACTCAGATAGGAATTTCATTAATTAGTCTTCCTATAAATTTGTCAGTTATCACTTTAAAAATATTGTCTGAGTTAATTGCTTCTTGCAAAAACTTTGCTTCTTTCTCATGTGAATTTTTTATTGTTAGTATAGTTTGTGATTTTAATGTATTTCTATTAATATATGTTATTTTACTTTCCTGCAACGTAAAAGACTTATTACTTTGAGGTCCAATAAAAATAAACATCTTTGATTGCATAATTACTTTCTAACACGCTAAGAAAATCTACAATGTGTGCATTAGCAGTTTTTATACACTAGGGGGAGACACATCTTGAGAAAATTTCCAACGTCAGTTCTTTACTAATATTAAAGAAGATAATTTTCTCTCTTCCGTGTAGAGGGAAACGTCTCCAAAGTATCGGTTTGTGTTGGCAAGTCTAGTCTGACGCAATTCCAAGAAAAACTACCTTGTTTTCCTCAGGAGATATTTTTGCTATAAAACCAGGTGTACAACTTTGGAGTAATTTCTGTGACATTATACTAAACATTAGTTGTTAGTAGCATATTTTTTTTTTTTTGCAATGACTAAAAATGTAGATATTCTTAAAATTCAATACTTTTACGGTCTAGTTCAAATAAATAACTTTCAACATTGTGTTGAGTTTTACAGATTTAGGTTTGTTTACACAACAGATTAAAACACACAATAGGTATTCATAAAACAACTATTAGAACTGTTCTAGTCAGCTTGATTATAAAAAAGACTGCCCATTTTTGTTGTGGCTGCACTTCCTTACTGTCAAACATGATGTTGACCGTAATGTGAGTTTTTAATGAAGGGGAAGTTTAATCAGTCTCTATCTGATTTATCAAGACAGTCCATGCGTGTGAACGCTGTCGTCTAAGCAGAGGCTGACTACAGATCTGTGTTCAAGAAAACAGGAAACATTACAAAATGATAAAAGTGATGCAGTGGGTTGAGAGAATTTTGTTGAAAATAGGCACATGTTGGACAACAAGAATAAAGTGAATGAATAAAGAAGAATCCATTTTCAGAATTCCCCAAAAACATTTATTGATACTAAGTAAACAAAGATAATCTGACTATTTCTATTCTAAGACATTGTGGAGGACAAGTATGAGTCTTAAAGATTATCTAATGTTTGATCTTTAAAAAAATCTCTCTTAAATTTTAGAAAGAACATCTTACGAGTCACAAAATGCTATGAGTTTCCCAAATGTAACATAAAAACTTGTCAAACAACAGTGAAGAAGCATCAGTGAGAAAGCAGTTTCAGTTGTGCAAAAGACAGACATAAAACCAAAATGCATCAGAGTTTGTAGCACTATGTCCCATTTAAATTACCCAAAGGCTCTTTAAATATAAACTTTAAAAAATGAAAAACGCCCAAATACTAAATACAGTATAAATTTATAATGCGTTGAGCAACGCATTTGTGCAAACGCAAAACATAAAAAGTAAAAAACTATTCATGCATGCATGATACACCACTACTGGTTTATATTTATAATACAATCCATAGCCCGGGCATCATTACAATCCTAATACGTAAGTGCAACAGAAACAAGGTTTAACATTTAAATATAGCAATTTTACATTAAATTTGCCAACAACAATTTTCACAATAGAAGTATAAAAAAACTCCCAACAACTACAGCAGAGATGAAAACACCTTCCTAAAAATAAACACACATATTGGAAAATTAAAACAGCAGTTCACTTAAGTGTAACCTGAAAACTTGAGTTTAACATAATTTATGTAAAATATGCTTAAAACTCACCCTCTTAAAAACCAAAAAGCCTTAGAGCAAACAGCTTGTGACTCATATTAATAGTTTGTAATGTTTTACATTGTGTAAAATTATCATACTGAACTGTTGACAATACATAGCCGGTCTAATGACAGTGTAAAAGATCTTTCTCCCATTCCATCAGTGTCGTCAACCCCTGAATTATTTCCTTGGTGGATCCAGATGCTAGTTTCCTCTGTACGCTACATTGGTGAAAGTGGAGGTGGCTCCTTTGTACAAAGGATTGTTACCCTGGAACATGAAAAACATAAATTGACTTGATTCAAAATTGTGTTTGTCAGTTGGAAGCAGGGGCTGATCTAGAAAAAAATATCTATGGGGTGGCAACAGTCAACCTGTAGCTCCATCCCTGGTTGGGAGGTTGTACATGGTTTGGTATCTTTGATGCTTACCGTATCCCATTTGGCTTTGGATCTCTCCTCCTCAAACTTGGCATACTCTTTGCGATCATGGATGGTAACCAGCAGCTTCCAGATGAGCAAACCAACAAGACCCAAGAGCAGAATGGCTCCAGCCACCGCCAAGAGCACCACCAGAATGTCAGGACCCTCAGGACACACTGAGAAACAGATACTTTCAGAAACTTTCAGATTCCCATTTGTATTCTCTCATTATTGTGGCGCTGCACCATCTAGCTGTGTAACCAACTCTGGGAGGTGTTCTTTATATAATAACACATTCCTAAATGCACACACCGTGAAAAGCCAGAGATAAACAGGAACATCTTCTGTCCTAATGTATCTAACTACCGTATTTTCCAGACTATTTCCATACTATGAGTTGAACATACAAATTTTTTTGAAAAAAAAACAACAACAAAAAAACAACTGGAAACGTACAGTAAGCTCTTTTCCTAATATGTCTGCTGGGTTGATTAAGAACACAGCCCTCTGTCTCCAACGCTAAAACATGGTTTCGTTCACACCGAGCTTACATTCAGTCCCTCCTGTACTGCCAGATTGATTCCTCTCAACTTAAAAGCTGCATCATATGTGATTGACAACATTTCTCCTTTGTACCTGCTTCTAGCATGTGCTTGTTCTAAATGAAAATTAGCCCTTTCTTTTTTAATTTCCAATTTTGACTTCCAATGATTCCTGCTAAAGAGCCCACTGGCGGTTGAAGAAAAATCCACAGAAAAGCCGCACCGGGCTATAAGCCGTATGGTTCAAAGCATGGGAAAAAAGTAGCGGCTTATAGTCTGAAAAATACGGTAATATTTTTGTTTCACTGACAGTTTAAATTCCTAATAAACACTAAAATATTTCACAGTACCTGGCTCTTTCACCACATACAAGATAGATTTGCCAGTTTTGTCTTCATAATACTGGAAGTGCACAACGCAGTCGTTCTCGTCTTTGTAAGAGCAGTTCACCGCAGTGTGTTGTTGGAATTCTACCAGGAGAAAAAAAAACAGGACCATTTAAGAATAACAACTTGAGACAAAGTTTTTTATTAAAAACTGTCATTTCTGTAGGTCAGCAAGATAGTTCAACCATAGTTGGGTGAAATTTGCATGTGAAGGAATGCAACAACACAACATGACCACAACAACCAAGGGTCACGTAAAAAATGGAACCAGAGAGAGTTTTCAGCACTCACCCACATTCCCATCCATTTTCTTACTCAACTGGTCCACAATTTGAATTTCATTTTTGCAGATTCTGTTGCAGCTGTTGTCATTGATGTACTGTCCTCTTTTGAAGTGCTGACACTCAACACACTTCCTGCAAGCAACAACAGGACATTCAACTTCATACAATACAGCCAGTTTAAACTTCAATGCTTCACCTGCAGCATGTGGTAGTTTTACCAAGGAAATTCAAACTATCACAGAGATATTAAAATGGCAAACCTATGTTGTGCAATATGTTCTCCACACCTAACAGTTTCATGTTGGGTGTCGAGAAATAAATAAAAGTTAAAAATGAAATCAAGTCGAAATCCAAAGAGCAATGATGTGGCGAATGAAAACCCAACAAGAAACAAGAGAACACAACGGCCATGTATATAACTCATAGATTTAGAGATGTTATAGCAAAAACAGTGTAGAGTGTACTTACGTCTTTATCGTGCAGGCATCAGGGCAGGTGGGGCACCTGTCACACGTATCTCCAAAGGCACCGGGTTGAGTGCACTGACAAACCCCACACTCACAGTTACCACGGCCGCTGCATAGCAGCCCTGAGCTGGACACGCAGGTGTCCGTGCGGGTGGTGCAGTTACAGTTGTCTCCTTTCCAGCCAGCGTCGCACTGGCAGAACCCACAGTTACACTTCCCGTGATCTGAGGGAAACAGAAACAGATGCATCAGCTCAATTCAGCTTGATGACCTGAAATTATTTAAGCTATTTTATCAAAAATAATTAATGTTTGACCTCATTTTATTTCTGGTTCATCTGCGAGTTTATTCTGGTTTTGTATGAACAGAGAAGACATCTTGCTTAAACTCTATTTCTTTTCTCTGATCCATAAATACAATTTGACACAAATATCAGCATCCACTTAAAATTGGGAGAAAGAATAGAACATGACATTAAATTACAGTAAATGTGTGTTCATCGTCAGGAAATGGCTTCTGCACAGAAAAGGGTGGAGGAGATCCATATCTTGTCTCTGCACTCAGTGAGTCAGAACGGGGGAAAATTCTTCAAAACTCAATTTTGGAAAATGGAAGCATTTTAGCATGTGTAGTTGTACTACAAACAAACAATTCTTTATAATAAAGCTTTTCATTTATCTTCACAAGTTGTGCTGACTCTTATGTGTAACACCGCCGGAGCTGTCAAGTGGAACGGTAAAAATAGGACAATATGGTTATCGACTTCCTGACTCTAATCTGTTTGCATTTTTGCTTCTTAGTAGCAGTAAGTTCCATAAGCTCTCCTACACTATAATTAGCCAATTTTAAGTTTTAATCTCATGGGTGAGGCTAGACAAACAAACCTACGAAATACAAATTGCTTAATTGTATTTCATAGGTTATTATTAATCAGTTAATCACTGATTCTCTTAAGTATCCTGTATTTAAGCGTGCTGGATCATGTATTGTTATATTTCTTAATACACATTTGTGGCTCTAAAGAGAGCTGAGCCATGAAGAAATTAGGATTTAGTCACTGCAGTGTTCTCAGATGTCTGAGAGAGTAGTTTTATTGTTTTTGTGTTAATGAGCTTCTTTCCTGTGTGTCTTTGAAAACATGTTGCATGAGCATATAGGAAGACCAACGAACAATGTTTTAGTTGAATCTGTAGTACCTTACTCACCAATTAATAACAAAGAGAACCTAACTGTTATTTCAACCATGAAAGACAACAAAGATACTGGTTGTAATTAATTAGTTCTTCCAAAAGCAAAGAAAAATCAGAATGTTAATGAGTTTCCTTTTATGTGTTTAAAAAGTTGCTGGCTAATTGTTTCCACTTGGAAAAAGACATGTTCATAAAATTTATTGCATGGGCTTTTTTGTTGTTGTTACTTATTCTAAGCTCATTGTTGGGCAGGTAGTCATATGAAATGCATCCTCAGAGCGCAGAAGCACAGGAAGCTTAAAGTGTAGTTACAGCGCGGCCACAATTTGATGACAGAATGTCATAGTCAGCTTTTCTTGATGGACAATGGCAGACATGGCATCAGGACGTTAGGCAACCTCAAAGTCAATGGCAGAGGTCTGTAGACTGTAAGATAGCCAAACAGGATGTCTTTCTGGATAATGTGTGAGTCACAAGTCCAGCTGGATCACAATGCGGGAAGTCTTCGATCCTGGAATGTTACAAATAGTCCAAGGGTCGCTGATTCAACAGCTTAAAGAGAAACCATTCTCTGCTGTAAACTGAACAGAGCAACAGTGCCTACACCCTATTTACTGCAACTTCTTCAGTGTTTTTTTTATGCTCATGGTTACTGTGGTTAAAAGTTTCACATAAAGCCACCAACTAATCTGGCATGATGTGTCCACATAACGATTAAGAGATTAAAATGCAGCAAAGATAGTACCAAAACTATCACCTGAAAAAGTTAATGCATGTTGTGCACAAAACAGTGCTACACTTAATCGGAAGTTTAAAGGTGTTACATCATGCTAGGATTTTGAAGAAATTTAAGGAAGAGGGTTGGCACAGCAAAAGATAAAAGACAAGAACAGGAAAAAAGTCAGGTTACTAAAACAGAGCTTCACTCTGCAGAAAGGGAGGAGAGGAGCTGCCAGCGGAGGAATGCAAACTTTCCTGCTCTCTTTCCTCAAATTTATGGGCCCTGGAGCAATGCGTGCTTTCTCCTGTTCTGTCCCACTGCCCTTAGCACTGGAAAAAATACACTGCCACAAAAAAATATCAACAATGTTTTCTTTTTGCCTTTAGCGAAGAATTGAAGTGGAATCGAGGGTCACCAGTTCCATAAAAAAAACATTATAATAACACTAAATAAATAAATGCATTGTTCCAAAGCATAGTGGATAGTTTTCCTCTGGCTACAGCTTTGTGAGTGTAAATGAGCTGCACTAAAAGTCAGCAAAAACCACTCACTAGTGGAGGCTCTTTAACCACTTCCTCAACCATGACATCATGGTTGAGGAAGTGTCTCAACTCACCAGAGCCAAGAAATGTTACTTTAAAGAGCTCTTGTTACAATATTACCTATCAAACAAACATATGTTTAATTTAGAAATAACTGAAGGGAATTGATGATAATACAGTCAAACGTGCAGGGATTCATTTAAATGTGTAGTGATTTTGACATAAAATCCAAACTTTTTTTATGGGTTGTCTAAATGGTGACCACTAAAAATTATTATTATTAAATTTATTTTGGGTAAATTATTGGGGTGGCTCCCATGACTAAAAATATCCTTTAAAGCCACAATCAGATTAATTTAGTTTGTATTTCATGAGTAATAGGAATAACAACAAGCAATTTAGAGATTCAGTAAAATTCAGTAAAAAAATATAAACCACAGGCTAACATAGCATCATTAGCTCATTTCTAATTAAAATTAGTTGATGTTATGTATGTGTGAAATTAGTTTGGGGATTGTTTGGTTACAGGCTCAACTAAATGATATTTATTTATTTATTTTAAACTCCTTTTGTAAATCAAATAGCTACTCTATGCTTAACAATTTATGTTCTGAACATAAATTGTTAAGAACATTAAAACACTTTTAAAAAACAGCAAAACAATGTAGCTGCTGTTATAAGAAGTCAAAGAGGAATTTCTGACCAAACCCAATACTCAACTCATACACACCCAGAATATTATTACAGTAGATCACCTGAAGAAAAATGCAACTTTCATGTCTTCAGCTGAGTTGCAGAGCACTGAGCTGTGCAGACTTGTCATTGGACATTAAAGCACAACATGAAGCTCTTTAGCAAGAGCACAGTCGTATCTTTGCACCATCAACTGACTATCCAAAACAAAACACTTGAAGTCTTACATAAACACTTCAGATTTCTGACAGAAAGTTGTGCTGTTTATGGACATATGCTCAATTACTGCAGGCATGTAATTATTTACAGGTATTTGTAAACACAGAAAGACTTCATATACATTTTAAATGTGGACCCTTTGATTTTTCCTGCTAGTTAAGGAGAAAAATGATGTAAACTCATCCAGATATGTTTACAGAGCAGAGAGAAGTTAAAATCTAAGGAGGGGGAAAAGGAAGGGAAGGGCAGCCAGATCTTTCCTGATTCACACAACTCCAAAATGACACACACAAATAACCCTTAACAGAGTAATAATACTGTGTTAAACATCATCTAAATTATTGGTGAAGATACAACATGTCACCATGCCAATTTCTGCCATGTTCGAATATAAGTGTGGTTAGGGGTTGTGTGTTGAAAAGCTTTTGCAACAGGGTTACAGATTACAGAACAGAAAGAATCTCAGCTCAGATATGAGTAAATAAATTACACATAATTTTTACACAATTTTACTTTGATGTGGCAATAGCCCAGGAAACCTTTGAACTCTATCAGGACCTTTCTGGGACCCTGAAAAGACTATTCATGAATGGCTGATTTCTTCAACTTATTCCAGCGTAAGGGTGAGCCCTGAGTCAACACTAATCAGCTAAAAGCAAATTAGACTCACTATCATCTGTTAAAACACTGTCAGCTGTATAAAAGACAACCTCGTAAATTGTTAAAAACTTCAAGGACGACTCCTCCATTTTACTAAAACGCTTAAAAGAAAACTTGCACATACTCACCAGAGCAAAGAGCTCCTTTGAAGTGCAAGCAGTTGAAATCGTCACATTCACAGTACTTTCCCCAGACCTGACCAAACCCAGTTGAATGACAGGAGCACTGTCCACATAAGCAGTCTCCTCTTCCATTGCATACCGAGCTGTTAGAATTTGGGAGGCAGTTGGCATCATCGGACGGACGATATTCCTCCTGCGAGCACTCGCAGAGCGAACCCAGTCGGCCCCGGTGACACTTGCAAACTCCACACTCATAGGTCCCGTTGCCATTGCTGCACACTGGACTGTTGGGTACTACCTTGGCCTCACAGTCACAGCCACAAGCAAAGTCTACTGTCACCTCCAGCGAATCCTTGAAGCCCAGAGGTTTGATGGTAAAAGTGCGGCTTTTCTCTTTGGGGCAGCTACGGAGCAGAGCATCCACAGTGAAAGACACCTTGGGAGAAAAATGTATTTAATAAAAGAAAAACAAATGCAGGTAAACTCATGCAACGTATTGTATATAGTCTAAAAATTATAAATGATACATACTGTGTCCCCGATCTTCAAACCAGAGCAGGACTTAAGACCACGAATCACCTCTCCATTGACACAAGAAGCATTAAATGAGAGATTCAACTCCTCTGGGACTCCCAAAAGCTCCAGCTCCACTTTAGAGCGAATTTTCTGCATATATAAAGATTTTCTGTTAGTTCATCATTATTGTGTATGTAAAGTTTATTTGTTTATCAAATAAATTTAATTAGATATAGGCATGAATTACTGCTTTTAGGAATCTTTCAAAGAGCTTCATGTTGTCAGATTATTTAACAGATTCCTTGATTTCACAGAACAGGCAGTAATTAGGCCTTGGTGTTGCTAATGAAACTCAGAAAATGGTATTTTATACAGTTAATGAGTGGGTTATTAATGGTTGCAATTTGCTTGTCATGTAGGGCCACATTAGCATTTTGTGTTTGTGTAGAGATCTGAAATGCTGAAGTGTGACAAAAACGTCAGAGCTTTAAAGGTGGGAATTTCTTGTTTTTACAGCAATGTGTTAATTACAGTTGTAGCACAACCTCTGTCATGAAAATATATTTGTACCTCATAGGCCTCTTTAATCAGCTGAATGACATTCCCAGAGTCATACGATAGTGTTCCCACAGTCGTGCCTGGAATCAGCTGACTGTATTCCTAAAATAATAACATATTGATTACAAATAGTTTTTTTTTTATTTCTTGTATATAAAATATTTGTACTTGAATTTTTCACCTGGTAAAGGGGTACAACATAACTGGTCACAGCAAAAATTAAATTGATGTTGTTTTCAGACATCTTGTCTGTTATTAGGCCCAAGGAGGGATAGTCCTGAAAAACACAGGTGTTACAACAGTTCATAATATAATTTAATGTTCAACTTTTGTCTATCATTTTAATTATTGTTAAATACCAGCACAGTGGATTTGTTGAAATTATTGTTATCGTCGAGGTGACACTCTCCGTCATTGGGCTGAACGATGCCAGCTATGCGTCCGTCCAGGGCCAGGTGAGTTTTGGCGTCAGTGGTCAACACCAGAAGATGTGAGGCATCTGGACGCCATCCGATCTTGTCCTTACGCAGAAAAATATGGGACATAAAGCTGAATTTTGAAGTCTGAACAACAGTCTCTGAAGAGTATTTTTGTCTTACCTTGCACACCATTGCTTGCATAATAGCCTCAAATCCCCCCTCCGGACCGTCCCTATTTCTAGACACATTCTGTTTCTGCACCTCCTCAGTGAAGCGAGACACCTTCTCTGTCAGCGACAACACGTTCTTGAAACCAAACTGAGCCTGGCATTGGTCGTTAATTCTGTTCATAGAGACACAGAATAGAAGTTAGAAAGTTCAAATTCAAGTTTTCAAACCACTATAAAAATCCAACTCTTACCAAGTATTTTTGGTCTAGTTTCTAGTTCTAATATCTTAGTACACTTGAAATAAGACAAAACTAACTCACAAGTAACTTTTTTTTATCAAGTCCTAGAGACTTATCTTAAGTAAATAATTCCTTAATATTGATGAAAAAGTACTAGTTTCATTGGCAGATTATTTCATTTATAACAAGACTGTTTTCCCCATGAAATAAGTTAATTTATCTGCCAATGGAACAAGTACGTTTTCATCAGTATCAAGAAATTATTTACTTAAAACAAGTCTTGTTGAAAAGTTACCTTTTAACTAGATTTGTCTTAAGAGTATTAAGATATACAACAAACTAAGCCAAAAATACTTGGTAAGACTTTGTTTTGCAGTGTGGACAAAACAAAGTGTGGAAGAAGATTAGGACCAATGGAGAAGAGAAAAAAAAAAGATTCTGACTAATCTCAGAATTTAAGTTTGTGTAAATCCAAACTAAACAAACATTGTTTTATCATGTAATCACTAAACCTTTTCTTGTTTGTCTTGTAAACCTGGACTTTATACACACTGAGAACCTGTTCCAAATTTGCTTGGTAAGTTTGAATTTTGAGACCATTTTTTCCTGTTGGTGCATAAGCAATTAAAAATCAACTCTGATTTTAAGTTTAAAGTTAGGATTCAGAGATTCAAGTCAGTTTTACTTAACTTTATTTATTTAGTTTTGGTGGCCCTAATCCTCTTCCATTGCCCACATTTATAGAGAGAAAAGTTAATGATTGTAACTCATCTCCTATGCAACCCACAAACACTCAATGATACCACATACCCAATACAAGGATTTTGAATTGACCCGTTAGGGTAGGTAATTAGGTAAGGGTAAGTGGTCTTGTCCACAAATGCTCCAAATCCCATGCGCAGTTTACTAGTCGTTTTGCCCATTGTTTCAGCAAGCTTGTTGCCCAGGGTTTGCAACTTTAAAAGATCATCTTTCATTGAATATGAGAGATCCATCAAGTAGTAGAGGTCCACGGGGTAATCCTCCACCTGTTTCACACTCACTGTGAAACGCTTGGTGTCACCTGGGTGAAAACAGAAAGTAGGGTAAGTTTAGCTCCAGTGCATTTCTGAGCATATTTAATCATTTCTATGTGGCTTGTAAGACCAACATACCTATCCTTAATGCCAGGTTGAGTTTCTGAGGCCTGATTTGAGTTACATCAGCTGCAGACGAAGCCTTGTCACTGAGAGGATTGTTCTGCTGAATTTCCAACTTGCTGGTGGGAAACTCTATAGCTGCACTGCTGCATCCTTCTTTAACTAGGTTTTCTTTGAAGTCACAGCGAGATAAACTGGATCTTCCCTTCCCAAACACCTGAAAAGCAGATGCACCCAATACATGGTAGTGAGAATAAAAAAAAAACAAGATGAAATGAAGCTGTGAAATATGACTTTTATTCTAATTCAACTGAAGGGGTCTCTATTTATGATTGTTTAATATTCTTTTTGGTTATTGTAACCTGAAAGATGTTTCCAAAATCCTTGTAACTAGGAATTAATCAGTGATCCTGAACATTTGCTTTTTCTTGTATTTCTTACTTTAACTCAAAGCTTATAAGGCATGCAGGATTCACATTAACAATGTGTGTGTGCATTTCTACAGACACCTGAGTGCTGATATCATGGACTAAGAGCTGAACCTTTATGTGAGCAGTGACTGAGACAGATGGGAAGTTATACTGAGACTCACATGAGGAGCTGGAGCAGATGGGAAGGTTTGCATATCACGGAATTAACATTTAATTCCACCTATTTAATAATTTCATTTATAGTTTTTTTTCCATGTTCAGCTAATCAATCAGGCAATAAGTAATTAAACTATAATTTGGCTACACCTGTTACAGCCTCTGTCCATAATCCTATCAACTCTCAAGTAATGCATTTCCACATCATTATGCTAAAACTACCATGTTTCACTCTGTACTTGGTGGATGTCACATGTTTTCTACCAATGTAGCATTTTGCATATTTACAAGAAACCTTTTGCTTTATATTATTTGTTAAGAGTACCCCCTCAACTCTTTCCTCTACATCTATTTTGACAAGGGGACTAAACACAAAAGTTCTCCACACATTTCAGATTTTTTGATGAAAAAGAAATTCAGAAAAAAAATTACATGTGCTTTTCCATCTGCTCTACGGCTATGCACTACTAAGTTTTTATTCATCATACAAAACAGCAGACTATTAACATTGTTGCAAGGTAATGTGTACATGTTCACCTCATCAGAGCACCATGCACAGCTAGGATGAACAACAAGACATTCTCGACAAGTGGTGACTCCACGAGATGTGCATATGTTGGAACCTGTGAAAGTAAAACCAAAGAAACATTTAAGTAATAAAACGATTTTACATTTAAAGCACAAACATCAATAAACTCATAAAAATCTGAAAAGGTTTGTTTTCTCCTCTTATCTACTCAATTTATTAAATGTGTGAGTATATGGGGGAAAAAAACACAAACTTTGAATATTGAACATCAGCCTTTTTTTTAAATTTATTTAGGGCACCTACTGGGTTGGTTTGTTATGGAAGTCATACCTGAAACTCTTTCAAATACTTGGTTACAGCTACTCTATAGAGGGGTCAGGGGGACTATGACAGAAGAGGTGAATTCATACCAAGTGATAAAAGCGACTGCACTTCAAGAATATTTAGAAACCTTCTGATAAAAATGAATAAGGAAGCAAAGGTTTTCAATCAGCTTTTTTAATAGATCAGGCTCATGATCCTTATCATTCGGTCTATTTTTGTTTATGATGATAATATTTCAGTCTAGCATCTCAGTAAGCATATAGCCAAAAGTATTTGCTGTTCTATCTTCACAAATATGAAGATCTAATTTTTAATCCTGACTAAAGTGGTATAGTTTGAGTTTGGCCAACATTTAGAACCATAACCATTTCAAACCATCTGGGAATTTCTTACAATGATTAGATGTACATCTGTGAGAAATCTTCACTATTTCTTCAGATGTGCATTTATGAGGTCAGTCACTGAGTTTGGAAAACAAAGACTGGCTCTGTGCAGGCCAGTCATACCATCCCCACATTTTTTCACACAAAGTTGAAGAAATATACTTGTCCAAAATGTGTCTAAAAGCTGGCAATTGCTAAACACTAATTTATCATAAGATGGTTAGACAGTCAGGCATGATTTGTACTCCAGTAGACAAGTCTCTATTGCTCTAATGTCTAATGGTGGCATGCTTAACCTCAATCTATTGCATGCTTTGAATTACATAAAAGCGCATTCCACAAACCTCTCTATTCCTTAAGTAGTCTAAATGCCACATGAAGCTTGGGTGACTGTTAAGTATAAAGTCTGTAGAACACTGATGATATCTGCTCATTATGCACCTCAGTCTCCTCTGATCCAGCTCGCAGTTATTTATCATCACACTTCTCTCTTTCTGCAAATGTTGAAGCAGATTTCTAGCATTTTTCTCTCAGCTGCTCTCACTTCCTTGATACTGTACACACACACACACACACACACACACACACACACACACACACACACACACACACACACACACACACACACACACACACACACACACACACACACACACACAGACACACACCCACCCATGCACCACACACACAAACACACACAGTTGGACAGGCAAAAAGCAATTATAATACCACAAGTTAGCAGTTTAATATTTAGTAACTAGAGTTGTGACATGACACATGTGGCATCCGAGGCTGAAAATGTAACAGCATAAATCATGAGTTTTTTTTTTAAACTGTCATAATAAAGATCTTCTGAAACATATAAATTAATTATTTGGAGGAGTGACCAGATATTTTGCCAATATGTGGCATTAAATCAGCTTCCATGTTGAGTGGAGTCGCAATAACTAAATGAATAAATACAGCTGTTCACAAAGTCATGGAGCGTTACAGAGGCTAATAATTTAAAATCGACGCTGTCGACCCACAAAGTTTGATGTAACTTTGTTTTCCTGTTTTAATATCACCGACTCGCAATATAACCAAAAAAGCTCTTTATGATATCCGCTAAGTAGATGTTTTTTTTATTTATTTTTTTTTGTAGTGGCACTAATAATCGCAGATCACCTCGCCCTGGGAAGAGCATCCCGGCTGTTTTTACTCCCTTATAAGGAAAAGTGAAGAGTTTAGGAGCATCGAACATTGTCGTCCTGTTTAAGTCATCCAAAAGCCTCCCCCTTTAATATTCATTAAGATAACAGAGTCTTATAACTGCACCCGACAGCAACCGGGTTCCTTTAATTGAAACACTTATAAATTGTAATCATTTGAAATTCGGAAAAGCGCCAAGTCGTCTCAGCAGGTGAGAGCTTGAAAAGTTGTCAAAAGAAATAATATGCAGTAAAAAGGGACATATCTTACCGCAAACGTTTGACGCAAAGAGAAACAGATGGACTAAATAGGGCAATAAGGAACCCATGGCAGAGAGCGTTCAGATCAGCTGTTCCTGCTTCTCTCTCAACTTTTGAAAGAGTTGCGTCTGAAGAACTTCCCCCCATCAGAATGGAGAGGAACCGCAGCCTTTATGACATGCTCAGACACAAATCAGCACACTTATTTGGCAACTTGTTATGAAATAATAATTCAGACGTATATGGCTTTATTTCTAGGCATTTCTATAAAAACTTCGATCATCTCTTTTCTCTTTCCTTGTAATATAAACCCAAAGGCTGCCGAGGTCCGGACCGAAAGTAGTTCAAAAGAGGTTGAAGAATTTTAAATATGTATTATTATTATTTTGACAATAATATACGCGATAAACATCAGTATTTTGATAGACATCAGTATTTTCATGATAATGTAGCCAACAGCAACAGAAACGATGCAACATGTCTGAGACTAGGAGATAAACGTGAATCACTCTTCTCAGAAAACATGAAGAAGCTATTTCCATGTAAAAGAGCCTCCTCCCTTATTGCAAAATTTATTCTTTAATGCCATTCCAGGATATTATTAGAAAATGATCACAGCCTGATTATTGCCTCTATTATACTTAGAAATTCAATTGAGAATTGACCAAAACTCATAAAATGGTCTTAACACAACTTGATGCTGTTGGTTAAAAACTGACTTTCATTCATTTTACAGGAGCTTCCGTGTGTCTGCTGTGTGTCTGCTCTGCCCTCTACTGGACAGAAACGCCTACAGCATGTGACAATTGTTTAGGAAAAACGAGTTAAAAAGTTGAAAAACTACATTTTGTATTTGCTCTGGTTATCTTTGTTTGAAGAAAATTTATTTTGATAATCTGAAACTATTAAGCACCCAAATTTAAAGGAAAATCACTAAAAGACTCCCAGAAACCCTAAAGAACTCACTTTTCCTGGAAAATTTCCTGGAAGTTTCTCTGAAAGAAAACAAGAGACACTAGAGGAAAAACTAGAGTAAAACTTTTAAAATGTTCCTTTTTTACACTTATAGATATTTGCAGAGACAAAGACCAGAGGAGGTGAGTGAAAATGATACTTTAAGGAAGTGAATGGACTATGAAATTGACAACAGGTGAATCTAACATTGTTTGACTGAAAATGAAGAGTATCTACAGAAGGAAGTTGATTACTGGATGCACCACAGTAGAGTAAATATGCAAATAGAGATCGAGTGTAAAAGGGCAGGGAAGAGAGGTACTGTGAAAAGTAACACAAATGATCAAGAACAGAGAAATTAATGAAACACAAGGTGGAACTAAAATATCAATATAAGCAAACTGAACTTAAAATTAAATAGATTATGACAACGTTAGATATGTGTTATCAGCTATTGCAGCCTTGATAATAAGTTATGTGGTTAGTTTCCCTTTTCTCTGATACTTCCATAATAATGTGAAGACGCCCGGTAATCTAAAAGAGAAAATAAAGTTCATCTGTACGGCATATGTTTTAGATTTTTATTTGAGAAGAAAAAGAAGCAAAACAACATACAACTTCTTTGTGCTGGTCTGTCACTTAGAATTTCAATAAAATAGACATATGTTCATGGTTGTAATGTTTAAAAACTTTAAACTTTAAATTGTTGCACATAAATTAATTTGGAAGGAGTTTGCGTGCATGTAGCCCTGCTCACTGAGGCAGACAATGCTTCTTATCTCTGCACTTGTCCATTTATTGAATCTTTATCCATGAGCCCGCTCCCATTCTCCAGTCTGTTGCTAAGTTACTGCCACCCTTGTCCAAGAACTGCTGCAAAGAAGAAATGACAGGAATAGAGAAATAAGTAGGAAAGCTATAACGGTTAACTGTTCTGCTGGCATCAAGCTTTCAGTGTAGGTGGACGGGGATAATACACAGGTAGATAATACACTGTGAGCAATGAAAATCCCTCTTCAGTAATGACTGATTTGGATCTATTGGCTCCACAAGCCACCTGAAGCGAACACCCACTCACATCAATGGCATTTTGGGACGAGGTACTGTATGCTCTGGTTGTCCTGAATAAAAAAGCTACAGACTGGGTCAGATGGCAGCCAATTAAGACTGAACAAGAAGGAAGTAGGAGGAGGCATGTGGGGAGAATGGACGGGGTCCTGACCTGCATTACAGATCTATCTGGAGCCCTTTAAGCTTTTCACAGAGTCTGAAAAGCCAATATCGCAACAGGATCACTCTCACACAAAAATCAGCGTTTGATTAACGACAGCCAGCTTATGCTTTTCCGCTTTGGCAGGTTCAAGGGTCAAGTGCAGGGTGATATGAGGTTTTTTTAAGGTGATTTGTCTGTGGGGCTTATAAGAAGCGCTCAACCATTGCTGATCTCAGACATTGTGTATTTGTGTTGTGATGCACCGCAATCTGATCTGCCTCCTTCTGCAGCCCCTCTCTGGATGCGAGACTTACATTTCCTAATCCCAGGGGATGAAAGTTTATATGAGGAGAAAATAAACATTAATAACTTAACATTTCGCTGGGAAGGAAATTAAAAAGGAGGGTTCTTCTGTTTCTGATAAAACCTCAAGATTGTCCTCACATGCAACAGCACTGTGCAGATTCAGAGAAAGGACTTAAAGAGAAAAACTGAATGAAAGAGGGCGAACAAAGAGCCAGGGGAGGAAAATCTGTGATTTGAAGACATGTCTAAATGTAAATGAGCTTTAATGGGTGCTGGCTCTGTGTGCGGTGTGTCTGCCTGAGCAACAAAGAAAGAAAGAAAAAAAATCCTCAATTAGATTTGTGAATTCTGTAATTTGTTTCTCAAACAGATTTTCATTTGAGCCTTTTGAAGCGGGCCGGCTGAAATAGAAGTGCAAATCTCTCTGCAGCAAGTCATTATCTGCCTAAAGAAACTTTATGACTGATATCTGTTTAGTGCAGTGTCAATGCAAGGCACCAATCTGCTGTGGCACCAGAGCAGTTTATATCAGACTAATTAATGGCTGCATTAACTCTATCTCATTAGGACTCCCAGACGTGGCAAAATCCTTAAGATCAAAACTTGGACTTTGACATTTTCTGTGATTTCTAAAAAAGCCCCATCACAGTTGACTTTCCCTAATTTGCTCTGGCATTTAATTGCCCCCATATGTCTCCTTTAGCAGAAAAATGGGTCACAAAGGAACCTTTACAGTTCGAAGTTTGCTGTGATCAGCTAATGAAGGACCATCGTGGGAAGAATCCCTCAACGCAAAGGAGATGCTTCGAAGAATGTCAGGTGAGCGTCACACAGGGCGTGCCTTCAAGAAATGTATTTGTGGGTGAGAAGCCGAGACGAGGAGCAGGGGGCGGGGTCAAACTGCATTTCTCTGTTGCTGCAAATGTCTCTGCTTGGTTTGTGTTGCTAGGCTGCCACTTGCCTCATGTTGAGTGGAAAATTTTCCCCCTCGCATCAACTTCAGAGGATAGAAGAACTGCTCATCGGCCACCCCCGTGTCTACCCCGGATCTGACAGGAAGAGCTGTGGTCTGGCTGTAACGATGACACCTTGAGGGAGGACAACAGAGGGAAACAAATCATTTCTCCAAACAATTGTCTTCGCTTTGTTTTTCTCTTCATTTCAAAATCTACCTTTCTGACATATATCTTCACTAGTTGTTTATGTTTTTATTTAAAATAATTTAAATCCTCAATAGGAGTACCTCTAGAACAAGTGAAATATGTGACTCAAAATGTGAACAGTGGGCTTTTAGCTTTGAGGAAAGCTAGTTCGGATGTATCTTTGACTGGTAAATTGTTTTGTTGGCTCATTGTTTCTGTCGTTGATGTCTATAGTGGGAAATCTGTATAAATATCATCAACATAGATACATATCAGGTGCTACATAAGATGCGTTCATAATAGTGGGGAAGGTGAATTTACAGGTGTTGTGGTTTGAAAGCCTTCATAAATACTGTCTAATAAAGCAAATAATAGCAACCTGATACAAGAGCTATGTGCTTGCATGGGTCTCAAATGGAGAAGGGACTTCACATGCACAACTCATTTAGTGCCATGACTCATCTTTGGTGATAATGTACTAATAGGATTATATTGCTTAAGCTTTTTACAGCCACAACACTGAAAACTAGCAGGATGACTCATAGCTGGAGGAAGTTTTATTGTAGTGACTACTAATTTACTAATTGTCAGTATTTTTGGTGATAACAGCACTGATACTGAATATAGTTGCTACAATAGTTAGGCACATAAGCCGTTAAAAGTTAAAAAAACAGCTCATATGAAAATAACTTTTATTACTTGGATAAGTTTTTTTTGACAATATCTTGTTTTGTCAGTATTCTTTTCAATACTTTGAAGTGGTGAAGTGCCACTTCTGGAGAAGTTATGTTTAGTGTTTCACTGTTGTTGAGTGTTTCTAAACAAAATGTCAAGAAAAAAAGCAATAGAAAACTTTAAAAATTGACACATAAGTTATATGTTTTTTTCATTCTCATTTCCCCTTCTGTTGGAGCTGTTCATGTGTACCATATTAAAAACTGCTTATGGTCTCAAGTCCCATCCTGTGTTTGTTTACAAAAACGTAAAAAAAATAAATGTAAACAGTTTGGACATCCTTTGGCTTCTCTTTTACCTGCAGACTACTGCAAACAATCACACCTCATGCTTGTAATCCCGCTGCAAACTCTTCTCTTTCTTTTGGAATTTCATGAGCCACTCCCTTTCAGTCAATGTGCCTTGGATACGTCATCTCTCCAAAGTAAAAGCATGTCATTGCTCCCTCCCTGTCTTTCTCCATTAAACTAAAATAACTTCCCCAACCATCTGTCACTGAGCTCATAGGTCTTCTGTTGCTAAGGAACAAGTCAGACACTCGTTCATGTATGCAGCCTCATATGATTTTTACAGTATCTACATGTAATTTGCCCCAACAAATCATCAATAGTTATGTGAAAATCCACAACTTTATGCTCTGCAGAGCCTGATGGCAAAATAATCACCACGTGTGTGTGAAATGAGTCATAGTAAGGTTCAGTTACAAGTAATTTACATTTTCTTAGGGGTTTTGGTTGTAAGTACAAGCAACAGTCTTCTGCCACAGTGAATAATTGTTCACCCATTATTAAC